AAATATTGATGCCAATGATTTTGCAATGGAAATAACCATTATCGTATATCGCTAAACGTCCATCATACATTCTTAGAGACTTTGGGATTGTAGCGGTCGAACGTATTTTATGTTGATGACAACAACGCAATGAGATGAAGTGAATTGCGTTATCTAGAATATGGTTTTAAATGGTCTCTATGTTCCTACGAATAGCGCAATTATCGGCCCTTATCGGCCCTTATCACTTCCTGTACCCCAACAAACATGTTTCCGGTCCCACCCTGTACATCACTTCTTGGAACCAATGCCCCACTGGTACTGGGACGTGCGCTATGAATTTCGTGAAATTTGCGTTTCAGCGCCTCTTATCAAATCTTATCAGTCGGTATCACTTTCCAAACCTCCACCAAATATGTTGCCGTCCCACCCCTACACCATACTCAAAATACAGCGTTCCATGCCTGCAGAAGCGCGCTATGAATTTCGTGACAGACGGACGTACGTACAGACAGACACACACACACACAGACATACTTAGCGAATATATATAGTAGATAGGAGAGAACCTTTTCTCTTTAGAACCTTTCTTATGGAGATGGGACAAGATAATTAGAGAGAATCACAGTTCGAACGTTTTGATTGTGGCCTGCAGATGAAGAAAACTTATCCCATTTGGCACGCAAGGTCAACCTCTTTCGGTGCGAGATCATGAAGGAGCCAAATTTGTGATTTTTGGACGAGAAAAGTCGTGCTCGAATTAGATAGGCACCTTGTTTCCTTTAGTGTAGAAAAAACAACTTTGTAAGTGGAAGAACTGTGCTCAAGGAGAAAACAGATACGGAGACGATGGAGCATAGACGGAGCGAGACGCAGACATTCAGGCACGTGGGCGGCTGCAAACGGGAAGAGCCTCCGTAGAAGCCATTGGCTCCATTGACAGGGTCCTATAGCTCTAGGTTGCCACAATTATTATTGGATTATATCGCAGAAACTCTTCTTTGAATCCTAGTTACGGTGCCGTCGTCACTTGTGGTGTGTGATCTGCACTCGACTTCGCTTCTGATTTTTGAAACAAAAGCGTCAAGACTTGTTGCTGAGCACTTGGAGATGGAAGGCATTTTCTTACACTTGAAAATTGACGAGGGAGGTAAAATCAAAAACGATAAAAGTGCTGCAGTACTCTCTTTCCAACAACCAATGTACACAGGGTAGCCACAAATTACGGTAGCAAGAACAGCCGCAGGCTACAGAGTACCAGAAAAATCCCAAGGAGAAGCGCACCGAGCCAGGGGAAAGAGTCCAATCGAAATTCTCGCCTTGCGGAAAATTTCAATCGTTTACCACTAGACACGCCACGGTGATGGTTGCACGTTCTACTCGATTCTTATCGTTCTACTTGCTTCTTTGTGAATGTCAAACCAATTGGCGAACGAACCCTTTTTTTGTTACTTCACCTGGCGATTCAATAATAGCTATGTTATTCCGGTTAATCGTTGCATAGTGGCAGAATTTTCTGTCGATCACTTGATCTGTTACCGCTAATTTATGGCCACCCGTGGTATATACTGCATTCTCGTGGTGGAATGCGTCCATTAGCTGCAAATCGGAAGGTGCCTTTGTGAAGAATTCGCAACGTAAATAATCGTGCTCTCTATCGAGCTGTAGTAGGAAAGACATTATTATTTACGGCTCGGCTGCTTCAATAGATACTATATGTTCCTGTGTGCACTTCCTTCCCAGCAGTGGAGATAAGTAATATTTATCACTTGTATACAAATACGCAATGTTAAAGACTGTTGACAGTCGAGCTTCTTCCTACTTCCCGCATCCCGAAGAGCATGGTGGAGGACATGGAGGAGGGCATGGAGGTGGACATGGAGGAGGACACGCTGGAGCAGCAGGAGCAGGGCTGAAAGTTCGTATATGGTGATTCCTTCATAGTTGTGAAATTTGAGGAGGAAGCCATTCCTCAAAAAATAAACAGCGTTGTAGAAAGCCGCTTACCAGCCGCAGCCACCGCCACCGCCACCGCCTCCAAGGAGACCGAAACCGAAAGCCTCGGTTGCTGCAAAGACGGCAAAGGCAAGGATCAGGTACTTGAACATCCTGAAAAAAACGAATAAGGTTCTCTTCAAATAAAGCTTCAATAACTGGAGGCAGATTTTCAACAGTGATTTCTAGGAGATGAAAGCTAATGGAGAATTCCTGAGTAGTGTGATGTGGTGCATTAGTATTTCTGCTGGGCTTTTATATTCAGTTGCTCCCGTAAATTAATCAAGTTTCCTTTATCCAGTATCGTAAGCTATGTTACGAAGCTTCACATCGCCACCTCTGCGAGCGGAGAGGTTGGCCTAGTACGCCATCGTAATCGCCGATTGCTGAGCGTGACGCGGGTCTGAAGACTTACAATAACACCGTCTGCGCTTCGCTGAGATATTCGACTCCTACCTTCATGAATAAAAACAATTATGTGGGCTTTTCGGGAAGCTGTCGCGGTCTTCGACCTTCAAATTTAAAAAGCGCATATCTCGGATCAAACAAAAAAAATTTGATTGAAATGAAGACTGTACGTTTTGTCAAAGAAAAGGGTAAAACAGGTCGGGACTGTCTCTTTAGAAGTGCTCCCAGAGTGTTCTTAAAACAAGTTCAGAAATGAGGCATTCAAAATCGATTTTTACTAAACACGCGAGAATCTGCTTCAAAACCAAAATATATACCACTTCAACGAATTTACCTCCAGCAGAAATCACACAGAAACACCGCGACCCCTGTGTTCAGCATGTATGTCCAACGGACTAGCATAAAGTAGTACAGTGAATTTGGTGGTTCTCATCTTGGCCGAATATCACGAACAGTTAAGATGAGGGTTTGGAGAAATCTCGGGCTCAGCACCTATTTGAGGCCCCGTAAAGCTTTAAGCTAATTCAGCTATGAATTAATCTCAATTCTCACGAAGAGGCGTAATGGCGTCCTCACCAGCACTTGCAATGAGTAGTCAATGAGCCCTGTGGCAAAGGCAGGGGCGAGCCGGTCGACTTGTACTGCCAGTTGAAGATTGAGCAAAGGATCGCACATAGGAAAAGTCATTTTTGGGAGGTCTGTTGCGACGTTTGAAATGGCCAGTGCCATCAAGCCTTGACGTGTCACCGACACGACAACTCGGCCGGCTCACTTCTGCCCTTCTCTATGCGATAGGACTCATGAATACTCGCCATGGTGGGAGTGCCGAAACAAACCCCTAAGAACAACCCAGCGTGCCAAATACTTCGCTAGTCGGCTGAACGCTTATCGGTCAGCTAGCATGAAGAGTGCATCAATGTTTCGACGATCGGAACCGTATACTATTCAACACTTTGCGTCAATACTGTCGCCAGATTCAACTTCTCGCGAGGCTTTCACTATTGACTCTTCCTTGCAAAACATTGATAACGGCCTCTTATCTACGCTAATTCATCGCCTGATTGCCTAACATTACAAGTGGAAAAGCAGCTGACGAGAAGCTCGAACATTGTGCGCGCCGTTTGGCAAAACGACCGCCCCGAGCAATAGCGCGCCACGCGAATGGGACGTCTCTGACGAATGGAGGTGATATTCGTGTCATCGGGCCAACACTACCCCTTCGACACTTTTGGTTAAATGAAAATTGTGAACCTGACGTCCAAAGTAACCAAGTCATATCTGTTTCATTCAACTCAGAGTCAGGGTCTGGCCATGGGACGGAATTTTAACCTCTCATTATTGTAATTTGACATTTTACTGGAATAACTGGTTGGCAGCATTACGACGAAAATGGTTTGTGCTTGAAGCTCCCCTCCTAACATGACAGCGCTTTGTGCAGTGTAGATATCAACACAAAATAGTTTTTATAACTGAAACAAAGACAATCACAAAAAGAAATTCCCATGTAGCGAAATCCCATTCGTGGCGTCAAAACTTCCAAACACCTACCCTCCTTGAAGGAGGAATTCACGATTAGAATGAAGGTCGAAGAAAGGGAAACTGACCTAGTTGAGGGACCCACGGACCTCCTGAGGGTGCGAACTGACGCGCAATTCGCATGGAAAAATTTGACCTCGGCGACCTATCATGCCTCAAAGCTGGCGGGTCCGGCGATCTCCGCCCACCGATCATCTGATCACTCGCCGTAGTTCAATACGTGGCGAGTGATTAGATAGCTGAGAGAGCGTAGTGTTGAAGAGGGCACAGCGATGAGAGTCGCATCAATGCTCGAATCAACGGGCAAGGAAGGGGTACCATTTCTCGGGTTCTGGGCCGTTTCTCATGGTTCTTCCTTCTTTCGTGTACCACTCACCATCCCTAGGTTAATTTGAAATGGGTTGCTTTTTCATCGTGAATTCGTCCTTTTTGCGGGCCACTTTCTCTGTCGGCGTCAATAGCGGAGGGCCTTTCGTTCGGAACAACCTCGTAACTATATCAGAGAATCGTTAGCCAAATTTGGAAAGTGTTTTGAGATCGGCGTTTTGAAAGCAGATGTGTATAGGTTTCATCACGAATGGCCACTTCGACCTGGTATCCTTTCCTTGTTAAAGCTTTACGGGGCCTTAAAAAGGTGCTGAGCCCGACATTCATCTAACCCCTTATCGAACTGTTCGTGATACTCGGCCAAGATGAGAACTACCTATTTACTGTGTTTATCTGTTAAAGAGTCCAATGTCCGTTGGACACAATGTGACAAGGTATCGTGTTCGTGATTTCCTGATAGGGGTAATATTCGTTGAAGTGGGTATATATGTATTGGGTTGTTCAGAGTAATTCCGCCGTGTTTAGTAAGTCGATTTTGAACGCTTCATTTCTGAATCAGTTCTAAGAACATCCCGACCTGTTTTACCCTTTTCTTTTGGCAAAACGTACAGTCTTCATTTCAATCAATTTTTTTGTTTGATCCGAGATATGCGCTTTTAAATTTGAAGGTCGAAGACGGCGACAACTTCCCGAAAAGCCCACATAATTGTTTTTATTCATGAAGGTAGGAGTCGAATATCTCAGCGAAGCGCAGACGGTGTTATTGTAAGTCCTCAGACCGCGGTCACGCTCAGCAATCGGCGATTACGATGGCGTACTGGGCCAACCTCTCCGCTCGCATCGAAGGAGGTGCTGATGTGACGCTTCGTAACATAGCTTACGATACTGGATAAAGGAAACTTGATTAATTTACGGGAGCAACTGAATATAAAAGCCCAGCAGAAATACTAATGCACCACATCACACTACTCAGGAATTCTCCATTAGCTTTCATCTCCTAGAAATCACTGTTGAAAATCTGCCTCCAGTTATTGAAGCTTTATTTGAAGAGAACCTTATTCGTTTTTTTCAGGATGTTCAAGTACCTGATCCTTGCCTTTGCCGTCTTTGCAGCAACCGAGGCTTTCGGTTTCGGTCTCCTTGGAGGCGGTGGCGGTGGCGGTGGCTGCGGCTGGTAAGCGGCTTTCTACAACGCTGTTTATTTTTTGAGGAATGGTTCCTCCTCAAATTTCACAACTATGAAGGAATCACCATACACGAACTTTCAGCCCTGCTCCTGCTGCTCCAGCGTGTCCTCCTCCATGTCCACCTCCATGCCCTCCTCCATGTCCTCCACCATGCTCTTCGGGATGCGGGAAGTAGGAAGAAGCTCGACTGTCAACAGTCTTTCACATTGCAGTATTTGTACACAAGTGATAAATATTACTTATCTTCACTGGGAAAAGTGCTTATACACACAAGGAACATATAGTATCTATTAAACAGCCAAGAGTAAATTAATAAAATGTCTTTCCTACTAAGCAGCCGAACAGAGGAACGATTATTTACGTTTGCGAATTCTTCACGAAGAGGACCTTCCATTTGCACAAATAGGGCAATTCCACTCGAGAATCAGTATATAGGGTGGCCATAAATTACGGTAACAAGATAATGTGATCAGAGAAATCTGCACAGCATGCAAATGATAACCGGAAAGCATAGCTATATTAATCGGAGGCTAAAAACAAAAAGCAGGGTTCGTTCCAAAATTGGCTGAAGTTGACATTTACAAAGAGCGAAGTACTTTTACTACCTTGAGTGTCCACCACTTGTCTCCAACGCGCAGAAATTCCTGAATGCTCCTTTTTCAAAATACAGCGGAGTGCGGCTCAAAAAAACAGGACGACCTTGCTTTCGGATTGAATTTGACCCACTGATTATTTCGTTGTAAAGATGGTTACTGAAGGTCCGGATAGATGGTGCTCATTTAGGGCTTAGCCGATGGTATGAGACATGTAGGTGAAATAAGAAATCTCGTCTCAGCTTCAGAATGTGTTGATTTCCAAACATGGTGATTTGTAATGTCATGAAGGAGATGCGCATTGTCGCGGTACGAGGCTTTTGGAGAGCTGCCTCGGCCAACTTCTGGAGTTCGCAGCCTAGGCCTCTACCTACACAATGGTGCCCATAACGAAGAATTTGTAGTGGAGCTTCCGTAAGAGCCCTTCCTGTAATGGAGTGTGCGGACGCTGCTGGCTTCTTATAAAAATATCAAAAGATCGAAAGCGCTGGTAAAGGTGAAACACGCTGTAGCGGTGAACGACATACCCGTTGAAGCTGGCGCAGATAGCGGCGGTCGGTAACGCTGATACTATCCTATGTTGGGGGAGGGTTGCGTCATAGTCATATTCTGCGTTTCTAAACTGCAGACAGCACGAAACCCAGAAAAAGTTCCTCAACAGGACAGGGTGGCTACAACATCACGCGTTCAATTTCGGGACCCATGGCGCAATTCTGTCTCCCCCGAGCTTACGATATATTCAGCGGCTGAGAACGCGTCCCCTTGGGGATGACCAGATATGGCCCATGGGGTGTATGTACCACACTCGTAGTACAGACTGATCAATGATCGAGGTCTTTACCTTCATCCACCTCCAAGAAGATATAGACCAGAAGAGGATTAAGCTTACTGAAGAAAAAAACAAGATATATGAAAATCACAGAAATTTCTAGAAAGTTCTCAGAACTCTTCAGATATTCCTGAGAATGTTTAATGCCATTTTCTGCTATGACGCCGTACCATTAAGCTTAGCCCTCTTTTGGTCTATATCTTCTTGGAGGTGGAATGAAGGTAAAGAGGGGCAGGCGGAAGCATTGAGAGTCTCATGAAGATCCCTCAAGGAGGACGGGTCATTCCTGACCCCGAAGGTCTTCCCAAGCCGGTGGATGATCCTCATGTGATCTTCTGAAACTGTATTACAGCTAGGACGACCACGTCTCACCATGCCAGTGTTGACCAGTGCTCCATATGTGTAAGCCAATTTCGTTCTGCTTACAAGGGAAGGATGGTAGGTCGAAGTGGCCGTTCGAAATGAAATGTATACCTCCTGATGCGTCTCCAGACGCTGATTCCAAATCTGCCTTCCAAATCTGCTAAACGGCTCTCCGAACGGAGTTATGAAGCGTAATAGCTCAGTGGTGATGGTCCGGGGTGGCAGGTAAAAGCTCGTAGGATCGGTTCCTTTGCAAGTTGGTTGCTTTGCTTTTGTCTCTAGAAGTGTTGCGGACAAAAGCAAAGCAACAAACTTGCAAAGGAACCGATCCTACGAGCTTTTACCTGCCACCCCGGACCATCACCACTGAGCTATTACGCTTCATAACTCCGTTCGGAGAGCCGTTTAGCAGATTTGGAAGGCAGATTTGGAATCAGCGTCTAGAGACGCATCAGGTGGTATACATCTCATTTTATACGGCCACTTCGACCTACCATCCTTTCCTTGTTAGCTCTCGATGATGTACTGGGAAAATTCGAAGGCCAGTCAACTCGGCGTCATCCCGACCAACGCAAACGGGGAGTGGATGCAAGCGAGTGGCACTTGCTACGTCAAGCTGCATCAAAACCTGGATCGACTATCGTTTGGCCCCTTATTTTTTGAGACGATTGTAGAATTCCATTTCTACGGGAAGGGATAATTGGTATCAGGCGCGTGTAGGAAGACAAAAACGCTGACTTGTGCATCGGCTGGCCCACGCAAGTCTTTTTATCAGGTTAGCAAAGAAGACGTACTTTTCCTCCACAATGGCAAAACGTTTTTAAATACACGTTGCCAAACCAAACCATAAGGCTCAACTACGTAATAAAGAGCAACACCCTTCTCAATTCTATCAAAAGTTACATGACAACCTTCTACACGGACGACATCAGAAGGTTTTCCCATGGAACATGGTTAACGGGACGAGCTCAACAAGTTCGTCGAAGTACCATAGACCATTACGATGTTCCTGGAACGCTGTTCAAAAGCGGAATATCCGCACAGTCACGCTGAACGCAGCGGCGAGTGGGCTCTTAGAACACTGCCGCACTAATTGATCGAGTTGAATAAAATTACTGTAGCAGGCTCGGGCCGGGGCGATTGCCGCGTAAACCGTTGAGCTCGACGGTGACGGCAGATGACGTCATATTCTGAAGACGGTGGGGGCAGTGGAGGGCCTGCCTCTGCTTTTGGGGACACATCTATGGCGATATTCTGATGTATAACATTCATCAACAACGGCATCCTGTGCGACAAAAAATTTGACCAAGTGACGTCATGGGTGCAAAGTGACTCCTTTTTTTTCCCCCCCCCTCCCTCTGTAGATCATACCAAATTCGAATGTCACCTGGATGATTCTGTGTTAAAGAGAAAAGAATGCGGGCACATATCGAAAGCGGATTTATTGACATCAGGAAGTATATCCTTATTAACCGGCTCAACACGTTATACGTGTGAGTGCTGACAAGCTATGGTACGTATACCATGAAAAGCTGAGTTGGAATGAAATGGTGCCCCGGTAGCGTAACTGGTAGCGCACTTGCCCGGAAAGCGAGAGGTGCGGGTTCTAGTCCCGCCTGGGGCGAAAGTTTTGTTCACAACCCAGCATTCTTGTGAAACATTAATGTTTTCCTAATAACTTCGTATAGCGTCCCAGGTCACTGTAGCTCAGCTGGGATACGTAATATATCGCTATTCAAATTGATGGTCAAGCAGTTTATGCGGCAATTGCCAACTTGAGCCAGCTTTCTTTCTGTGTAGAGATCTGAGCTTGGTGCCGTCCGAGGCGATGACGGTGAGATTGTGAGCTCCCAGACAGCGGTCACGCTCAGCGATCGGCGATCCGATGGCACACTGCGCCAACCTCCGCGCGCTCACCTACGTGACGTCGTAACATAGTCTACGTACTGGATAGCTGAAACCGGATCATGCAACGGCTGCAAACCAATATAAAAGCCCTGCAGAAATTCCGCATATCACATCAGACTTTCTTTACGAAGTTTGCTACTTTTGCAACATTCTTCAAAGACCGTGCCTGAAAGAGCAGCAGCTTTGGGAAGCCTCTCTGCAGTCTAGGCTTTCACCCGGATGATTCTCTAATCACGTTAATTTCAGAATGTTCAAGTACTTGATCTTTGCATTTTGCCATCTTCGCGGCATCTGAGGCGTTCGGTTTCGGACTTCTTGGAGGTGGCGGTGGGAGCAGCTGCGGATGGTAGGAGAATTCCTTCAAAATCTGTTAAATTCTTGAGGATTTGTGGTTTTGTTTTCATCGATTGTTGTCGACAGATCATTGCTCAATGTGTCTTTTCAGTCCTGCTCTGCTCCAGGTCGGCCTCCTCCATGTCCTCCTCCATGTCCACCTCCATGTCCACCCCCATGCCCTCCTCCGTGTCCTCCTCCATGTACTCCGAGCTGCTGAACTAGGAGGGCGCAACGAACGTCAACATTTCCAACATTGCAGTTTCTCTTTTTTAATTATAAATATTTATTTATTGATCCATATGAGAGAGCACACACAGAATGGAAAAAAAACAATATTTCGAAGACTGTTGAGCGATAAGAACGGGGTATATGGCCCCGTAAAAACCACTCAAGGATATCCATCCTACTTCACCCCATGAAAAAAGTGCATCTCAGAAGTGAAAATGAAGTGAGTTATGCCCGCTTAAAACCCAAAAACTCGCGATTTCAAAAAAAGTGTTCGGCAAAACCCCCAGCGTTGAAAAAACAGTTTGGGCTTGTTAGAAGGAGCAAATCCGTGTACTTTCATCTTCATTATGAAAAAAACACTGACATAACAGGAATTGGAAAATGAGTGAGTTATGCCGCCTGAAATCCAAAAACAAAACGGGTATATGGCCCGGAGGATATCATGAAGCTCACAAGCTCAGAGATTTATACGGCAGTGTTTAGAAGCTAGTGTGTTTTTATCCTGTCGGGCAGCTCAAGCAGCTTTCAGAGGTTTTGACCAAATCTGACATAGTTGACGGCATTTATAGAAATAAGATTATATTACTACCAATTCTCCGAATAGTGAAAGAAATACAAAAAAAATGATGATAAAAAATAAATGCTTACCTAATTGACAGTGGATCACTGACAAACGTTTCCACCATTTTGATGGCTATAAACTTCGCATATTCAATCCAAAACTAATACTATTCACCTGAATTGCTGACAATAACGTGGTGAAGTCTGCTCCATCTGCACGATTGGTTTGCTCTGTGAGTTCAATTGATTTTAGTCCTCAATCTGCTATTTAAAATTGCTAATTTCAACCCAATTTCGATGTTACCTCCGGGGATAGAAGAGTACAGTAAGGTCGTCTCGCGAAGGAGCGAGAGAACC